TGCTTCATGGCGTTGTTGCAAAGTTTGTGTTCGTGTTCTTTGAGGTCGTAAATACTAAGCAGTATAGATTTCTAATATGTTTATTCCTGCATATCTTTTAATGCGATGGAGAGGGGGTTGCTGGCAACCACAGCAGGATAAGTTATCGACCTGTTCCTGCAAACCTTGTTTGTGCCCTCTGACTCCTAGTTAAGTTGCCATTTATGGGGAAAAATGATTACGTGAATAAGGACTGGATCTCGGTGTGACGGTGTTTGTGCTGGGGTATGTGTACATGCAATACCGTATCTGCCTTTGAAGTGCATTATCAGGATCGGAGGTTTTTTCTTAGGTCAAAGCTTTGGGATTCCAATTGGTATTAAACAACAGACTTCAGTACAGTTTTGCCCCGGAAGCAAATTCTCAAACAAGCTGTCTGTGCAAAGGAAATCAGTTCTTAGTAGACTTGCAACTAAATCAGTCGTTGTAGCTACTGCAAGGGGTTGCTTCAGTCATTTTGTTTTGTGAGAAATAAGAATTCTGATAAATTGGGATGAAATTGCAAATCTCACTGAGGTCTTCTGATAGCACTTTGAAACACCCAGCTGAGATCAGGACTACCAATGTGCTTGTCCCAAAGACTGTCGTCACATGGTGAAAAGACAAGGAGCGGGAAAAAATGTGTTTTAGAGATGGAGGCAGGCCCACAGGAAGGCTCAGCAGTCGAGACCATGCCCACAATCACCCAGCGTGGGGAGTTGCAGGGGACCGAGCCCAGCGCCACTGCACCCAAGTCAGTGCCGTGGCTGGGTGCCAGCCCGTAGCCCGGGCTTGGAGAGCCTCTGCCGAGGGACCGGGCAGCGGCAGAGCGGGCAGGGGGTGGCCGAGCATAGCAGGGAAGCTTTCTCTGCAGGGAACAGCTCTCCAAGGCCCATTCCAGAGCGTGCTCACCTATTCCAGGTGAATATCTCCCCATGTTCATGTTCGTGGGTTGCACTCATGCAGACTCCCATGAGCTGCTTGTGCTCAGCAGCCCAGAAACCTCCTCTAACTTATCCGGCACTTTACCAGCTCAGCTTTCACAGTTTCTTTGAGTAAATTTGCAGTTGAGGGTTAAGATATTAAAGGTGCATTTTTAAAGCTAAAGATGTGGTCCCGAGTGCCCTGCTGAGGGCTGTCCCACCACTCTGAGGAGAGACCTGGGAGTCCTGCGCTCAAAACCTTGCATGGTCAGCAAGGGAACCTTGTTCCTGGAAAGCTCTCTCTGATGGAGCAAAGCCCCTTGGATGTCCAATCTCCAAAACTGGAGACAGTGTTCAGCCACAGCTCTGCAGGGAGAAGAGGCAAGCTCAGACTGTAGGTGTCACCTTTGAATAGGGGCAAAAATCACTGTTCAGCCGATTGCTGCTTCCTTTCCAGCTCTGTGTGTGTATATACAACTATCAGAAGCACAAGGGCACAGAGCATCCTTCAAACTAAAGGGGACTACCACTTACCCTTGGCTTTTATTATGAATAACATTGTTTTCTAGAGTTGTAACCTCGTACATAACTCCTCAAAGCCACAGAGGACGTGGTCACCGCGAAGGCTTCCACCACCAGTTGCACTGGCAAGTTAGAACTAGTCTGGAAAAGAAAAGTGACAGCTACAGCAGCAAGGCAGGGATCAGAGCAGGGTCACTTCCAACCCCACCCCTACTTGCTGCAGTACAACCATCCTTTTGGGAGCGGCGCTCGCGAGGATGGGGCAAGGGGAGCTGGTGCTTCTTAGCATCCCTGGGAGTGACAGCCCTAGTCACTGTGCTTTGGGTCTCGTGCCTCTGACACAGGCTGAAGGTTCCCACCTTGCTTCACCACATAGAAACATGGTCATCAGAACTTGCTGGGTACTCTGAAGTCCTCAACATCGGGAGCTTTGGCATTATTAGCTTGGAGATGTCATGGCCCAGTGAAGTGTTAAGTTGGCCAGCAGCAGCTAATCCCTATTAACTCCCAACACCTTCCAAGTGATTGTGCTGTGTGAAATGACCAAAGGCACGCATCAACCTAAAGGCTCAAAATGCTGCTGCAATCTCCACTTGACTGCAGAAGCAACGGAGGGAAGATATCAGTTGTCGAGAGTTCGGTTCTGAAACCCTTTCGGGTAACAGGTGGACACAGCCTCGGCGAGGCAAGAGTTCATCCGCTGCCTTCTGGTAACGTTAGAGACACTCAAACCGCTTACAGATGCTGTGAAGCCTCAGGACTAAATTGCAGCTTTGTTAATAGCTCTTGGCTCTTGCATCATTACCTGTGACACAGCTGTCTAACACTGTGGAGTGGAATGGCACGTTCCTCCCTTCGCTCATGGAGGCCGTGGAGAAGCAGCAGCAGCCTCAGGTCACCGCCCGCAGCCCCCCAGGCTCCCGTTGCAAGGGGCACAGGAGCCCCAGGAGAGATCTCCCCATCTCTGTTCTCAGACAGCAGCGCGACCGTCACCAGCGATGTCCCCATTTGCCTGTGAAGGCAGCTCCTGCCCCTGCCTGTCTCAGTGTCCTTAGTGCTGACAGGAGTTTCACGCATGGACAAAATGAGGTGATCTCCCCCAGACACGATCTGGGAACACCTCTGACATTCCTGCCGCAAGCTGAGGGCTGTTTCTCAAGGGAAACGGTGAAAGTCACGTTGGATAGGCAAAGCTGATCCAAACCCACTAAGGATTTCCCATAGCAATTTTGAAAGCAGGCTTTCCCCCACCTCCCCAGGTAAATTATGCAGGCTTTTTATCTTCCAAATCAGGGACAACAAACAGATCTCAATTCCAGAATTTTTTTTCTTTGACTTTCTTTACAGCTTGATATTTATCAACTATTTATTTTTAAAGGAAAACATTTTCATTGGTAAAAAAGGGTAATTTCCCACTTAAAGGAAGGAGGGAAAGTTCAATGGAGAATTTGCAGCCATTTCTACTAAAGACATTTCAACTAGACAGAACAAAGTGCTTGAAAATAGCACTATGTATCCCCCGGGCTTCGTCCAACCTACTTTCTGATGTTTCCTGAGATGAGGTGCCACAACTCCCATCAAGAAACTGCTCCAGAGCCCAGCACATGGCGCTTTCAGAGCCCCCCTGCAGCCAGGCCTGGCAGAAGGGTACATGCTGTAGTATGATTTGTATTCCTAGCCCACGGCAGATGCCAGGTAACTTCCATAGCTGTTGCACTGGCACAAGTAAATTACCCCTCCCACCTTTAACGAATTCCCATCATTGCCAGCTCTCACAGTACAAAGAACGAATGCCAGCTCTCTTGTCTATTAATTATCATGCTATCAAGAAAGGCTAGGTGACTTACAAGGCTTAAAAATCATCACCTTGCCAATCAGAAGAATAGGAATGATTAGGAAGTAAAGTCTAGAGCTAGATTTTCTTTTTTTCCCCTGATCCATTTTCAAATGCCAAACATTGAGGGACTGCAAATCCCCTGGGGCTCCTGGAAATGCCCATGGTTTCCTTGCACAGAGTGTACGCACCTAACGTTCAGCCAGGCAGGACTAAGCAGGCTGATCCATGGCTATTTTCACTTACATGACATTGTTCCACAGGGAAGCTTGAAGCCAGTATAAATCATACCTCCCACAATAAGCACCTTAAATGAGAAGCAGGACCTTTGTATCTGTTGCTTTTATGTATTACACCAGCCTTTTTCATGCTTTCCCATAGCATTCATGGGGTGAATGTTTGGAGCATTTCATTCCCTGAATAGCAGAGCCATCCTAAAACTCCAAATTTCATTATTTTGCCTCCAGAAATGGCTTCCCGGAACATGAAAAAGCCCCAGTGACAATCCACCATATATGTCAAAGCCAGTTCCCATTACCCAATATTCTTATTTTAGGCCTTATGCAGAGCCCTCACAGGCAGATGCACCCCCAGGCTGCAGAGCAAGCCCCGAGCCAGCCCTCCGAGGGGGACAGCCAGGCCAGCCCCCAGACCCAGCCCCCTTGCACAGCTTGGTCTGACCCCCTCGAGCAGGGGGCAACCACAGGCAAACACAATTTCTATGATTTCCACTTATTTACATGTCAGTTAGGTGTTGCAGCTGCCTCTAACCACCCTGCCTGTGCACCACCAGCATCACAAGTTGGGGTACCCACCCAGCCCCCTCCCAGCACACCCCACACTGGCTGCAGGAGAGGAACGGCAACACCAGAGCTCCCCAAACCCTCGGCACTGGCCTGTCTCAGGGGCATTGCAACCGAGAAATCCCCCGTGGAAGCCAGGCCAGTGGCTGGCTGCTGGGCTTGCAGGGGTGCAGCAAAGCAGATCCCCCCCCAGCACCCCTGGAGGCAGAGCAGCACCGGCCCCTTGCAGGGGGGCGGTTATACCCCAGGAGGCAGGGAGGGATGTCTGGGGCAGCTGCGGGCTGAGCCTGGGGCAGAGCTGGAGCAGAAGCAGGTGTGCTCAGCCTGGGCAGGGGGCGGCGTGAAGGCAGCACCACGCTGTGCCATGGTCCTTTCTCCCCAGCCACAGGGCTCACCCACCCTCTCACCCCCCGCAGCGGTCTCCTGTACATAGGGGCTGACGTTCCCCACGGATCCCATGGCGGCTGTGGCTACACGAGAGGTGTCAGTGGAGCCACCAAGTCGCCGACGGGAAAGGTGACGCAGGTGCCAGGAACCACGGCCGGTGAGGGTGGGCTGGGGCCGGCCGTGGGGCGATGCTGCAGCAGGGGGGCATGGCAGGAAGCACCCGGAACCTGTTAGTGTTGGAGCCTCACTGCACCCCTGTCCCCTTTCATGAAACAGGAGACCTGACTTTAAGGATTTCACGAATCTGGAGAGGCTTTGGCAAGAACAAAGCTTTGAACTCGGGGCACTGCCAAGATCGCTTACTGTGGAATCGAGCTTAAATGCAGTTTGATTCAATTTAAGTTGCGGGAATTATCTTAAAATGTACTACATTACCAAGCCGGGCATGCCGTAAACATGAGCCAAAGCGCTCACTTAGTTCTGGAGTTTCTATAGAAAGAAAACTGAAGTCGGATGCGGACGAAGGAGGAATGGAAGCAGCTTCCCGGGGACAGGACAGTGCACGCTGTCCCTCAGGCTTGCTGGCACAACGACTTCCCCACCGTCACCACAGTTTGCTGTAGCTTCCCCTCCTCCGGCGCTGGGTGCAGGGAGTAAGGATGGATTCCACATCCATATGAAATGGTATTTCCCGGGATTAAGGGTTCTTTCAGGGGTTTATTTTTATCTCCCCGGTGCAGCAGCACAAGTAGGCAGCACCCGCCGCTGCTTTGCCGAAGCCATTAATTAACACATGGTGATGGACCCCCAACCCGGGGCTGAGCCACCCGGCGCAGGACTGACAGCAGCCCTTGTCTGCCAGGCGTATTACCAGGGAAGACGTTTCTTCTTCTGGAAGACAACATGACTCTCTCGCCATGTAACACTGATCGGGTTAGATGGAGCATATTGTATTTTTCATGTGTTAGATCTCTTGCTGCAGTTACTGCTTCGTAATATGTGGCTTGTCAAGTGAGAGCCAAAATCATCTCTGGTGCAACTCCCACCTGGGGACTGTGGGGAGCAATGCTGTCCCAGATGTAATCCTGCTCAGTGATAAAACACTTCCTAGGGCCAAATTCAAAATAGAAACGAGCCGTTCCGATGCCAGGGTCCATGCAGCAGCATTTTCTGCTCATGCAGTCCCTGAGCCTCCCAGCTCGAGCGTAGGCAGGACGGGAGCCGGCCCCGAGAGGCGCTGGGGCGGTGAGATGGCTTGGGGGCCATTCCCCAGGGATCTTCTGAGCTGCTTCACCCACAGCCACGTCCCCATGGAAAGGGCAGACAAGAGCAGTCACCCACCTCCCCAGCCCACCCTGCACCCAGCGGGCTCTGCCCCTCGTAAGGGCTCCGGGGACCAGGCTCACCAGCCTGGTATGCTGCTGCATGTCTGATCATGAGCCATCTCTGCTCCCCACAGGCCTGGACCGTGAATTTGGTTGCGATGGAGACCACGTCCCTGGAGCACCAGATCCAGAGCGTGCAGCGGCACATTGCTTTTCTGAAGAAGGAGCAGATGGAGCTGCTTCATGACCTGCACCTGGAGATCCTCCGCTTACAGAAGCACTGCTCAGGTGAGTGTTGGGGTGGCTGCAGCATGTGGGAGCTGCATGCCCATGGAGCACGTTGGGCAGGAAACCTCCTGCTGGCACCCCGGGTCCCAGGGCCGGTCCCGCACAGGAGCTCACGCTGGCGTTCAGCAGGACGCGGAGGAGGCGAGCGCCAAGCCACAGGGGATGCTGCTCAGTGTGGGATCAGGGGATCTCCATCCCCTTTAGCCTCCCGCTTGCACCCCTGGCCCAGGTGCCACCAGCCCCTCCCTGGACCATGCTACATGGCCACCAAATCTGGTGTGGGTCAAACCCTCTGAAATCGCTCCTCTGTGAGTGGGTACCAGCAGCTTCTTCCAGCTGCAACACTGAAGAACCAGAGCGATTTTTTTTTCTGGGCATCAGCTGGCTGGGCGGATGATAAGACAGGAGGCTGTGTTGATAATCCATCATTAAACCGCTCTCCCTTTGTTTTCACGCCGTGCTCAGTGCACACTTCTGAACGAGGATTAGCCCCAGTAGCTCAGCACTATCCCCAGCTGCGTGTTCCTGCACCTTGCAGTAGTTTGGCTGCAGTAGTTGCTACCCCAAGGGATTCACTGGTGCAAGGAAAGGCAAAAACTCAGCATTAGTCAGCAAGACTTTTCCTCCTGTGATCCATGCCCACAAAGGTATTTTGATCATTAAAATGTAAAAGTAGTTCATCATTTCTCCCAGATGCCAGTAGGCTAAGGGAAAGAAGAGAGTTGAACGCCGTTAATAATGGGGGCGTATAAGACCACTTTCAAAACGGGAGGAAATGTAATTTTCTTGTTTATATTTTGTTACATTTTATTCTCTTGCACACAGAGAGGTGAAATCTGTTCCCTTCCTGCCAGCCCAGCCCAGAGCAGTCCTGCACTAGCGCTGGTGTCGGTACCCCCTTGCCGTGCTTTACCGCTGCGGTGCTGAATGAGCGCTAACGCCGGCAGCATCAGCACAGCTATTCCCCTGCCCCAGGTTGCTCCCTACTTTATATATTTTGTTACATTTTATTCTCTTGCACACAGAGAGGTGAAATCTGTTCCCTTCCTGCCAGCCCAGCCCAGAGCAGTCCTGCACTAGCGCTGGTGTCGGTACCCCCTTGCCGTGCTTTACCGCTGCGGTGCTGAATGAGCGCTAACGCCGGCAGCATCAGCACAGCTATTCCCCTGCCCCAGGTTGCTCCCTGCTTTGGAGGGAGGATCCCTGCCAGGCACCCTCAGCAGCCCCTCACGCAGACGCTGAAGCCTCCCAGCCTCTCCTGGGATTGGGGGCTGTCACCAGGAGCCTGGCCCCTCGGGAAGGGGGCAAGCGGCTCCCCAGGGTCACAGCAGACCCTGCAGCAGCCGGCCGGGGTCTGCCCATCTCCAGTCCCCTGGAAGCGCAGCCACGAGCCTGGTGTGGGGCTCAGGGACATGCCCCAGCTGCAGGGCACACAGCCACCAGCCCTCTGCCCATGGCCCCGCTGCGGCAATGTCACCCTCCCCTTCAGCCAGCCTCGCAAGAGCGACGGCTCCCCGGCCTCCTGCCCGCCACCGAAACTCATTCCAACTTGTGCCATTGCTTTCATCAATAATTCAGCCGTAGCTAATTACTCCTTGTCTTCCAGCCTCTCATCCTCCCTCATTCCTGGGAAACAAAGACATTTCTGCATTGATAGAATTGTCTATTTTCCCCCATCCTTTCCGAGCTTTTGTTGTTCTCATTGTTTTCTTTTAATGGCTTCATCTACAGCCTCTCCAGATAGGCGAGACAGCACAGTTCTTACGCCTAAATCAGGCTGGGGGGTTCTGAGTCCCCAGAGGCAGAAATGAGCCCATTGCACAGTTGGTTATTAGCAATCTCCTTCCCAGCACAGCCGAATGACAGCACTGTCTGACTGGACAAGTCACATCCTCGTCTGTGAGGTGTGTGATTCTGCAGTGCCTTTCCATTAGGAGCGATGGGGGCAAAGCACCTGTTAGTTTTAAGATGACTTTGCTGATGGTTTGAATGCCGTTGTCTGGTGGGGCTGTTTGCATGAGGAAAGTGGAGTCGGTAAGTCAGCACTTCCCCCGTTGTGGCCCTGCGGAGCTGCGCCAGCTGCCCGGGAGCTGTTGTTTCAGACCTTAACATTTGCACCATCCCCTCGGTCTCCCCGAGGCGTCACCGTTGGAAATGCCACCCTCCTGCAGAGCTCTGTTTCTCAGCTGCCACCTTCTCAGCCCTGAGAAGCTCCATCCGCCTGCAGAGGCAGCAGCAGTGGCAGTTTCCAGGTGCCAGAGCCCTCGCCAACGGAGGGACCGTCTGCTCTGAGGGGGAGCCGAGCCAGCTGTGTGCGAGGGAATCCCAGGGGGAGGCACACAGCAAGCCAGCACCTTTGGATCCAGGCTGGATCCCGCAGCAGAACAGCCGTGTTCCGAAGGGACCTTATTCAAGTAAATAAATCGCCAGGTTTGCTGCCTCTGGGCCCAAAGCAGTTCCCGCTGGCTGCACTCAGCATCCCGGGAGCCTCGGACACCAAGGGCTGCTGCTGGGCCAGCAGCAAGAGCTGAAAGCGGGATGGAGCCTCCGTGTGCTCAGCCCCTGCAAGCCCCCGACACCCAGCAGCCTTGTGCCCTTCGCCACAGCATGGCAGGAGGAGGGGGCGGCTGCTTTGGGCAAACACCGCAGCCCTCACTGCGGGGCCAGGGCAGAGCCGGCCCCAGCAAACCCCCGCAGCCCAGCGTTCCCAGTCGGAGGCTTTACAGGAAGGTAATGCAGCCCAGAGCTGCGTGCTGTGATTCATTTATTGGAACGAGCCTTGCGTTACAGAGGAGAATTGGCTTCCCTCCCACTCCCGTTTTATTTGCAAGGTATAAACACAGCAGAAATAGCAATAGATTCCTCTGACTCTTCTGTTTCTCCTTTTACTGGAAGATGAGCTCAAGCCTTGTGGCAATAATTAGCCTGCTCAGTGGTGTTAGCAGAGCGATGGAGGGGAGGCTGGTGCCGGGAGTGGAGCGGGGTTTGGGGGGGATCACTGCAGGCGGTGTGGTGGATAGCAAAGCTGGCCAGACGGGCTGTGCCGACGGTCCCTCTGCAATTGGGGCACCAGGATAGTCCTCCCGGGCAGGAAAGGGGGAAGCCCGACGCATTAAGTGAAGCCGTGTCTTAAAAAAAAGCATTTCTAGCTTGCCTGCGAGCGTCTAGTCCCCCCCCGAGGGGCACACAGCTGCCTTGAAGAGGGTCACGGGCCCTCGGGCAGCTGGGGCTGGGGCTGAGGCTGGGTAGCTCCTGCAGGGCAGACCCATGTGTCCGAGCCCACGGCAGGGAATACAAACCCCTCCTCAGCCACCTCCTGCACCAGGCAGGTTGAAGTGAATCACCCGGCAGTGCCCCGTCCCCTGCCCTGCGCAGGGGACACCCAGAGGCACCGGGGCCAAGCAGGAG